ACAGAATGAGACACTAATCGTTTTGCTGAACCACACACCTCAGGCTTTTAAGCTTCTCAGCAAATTACCCTATCACCAGTCTAGATCTCAGCCCCAGTTCAGGCTCTAGCTCCCTCCCCAAACTGCACTTCAGGTGGGGAAATCCATGGTCCTTGATCCAAACCAGGCCCTGAGCTTTGTCTTAGCTCCAGCCTGGGACCCAGACCCCCTCGTAGGACAGAAGCCCAAACCCTAAGGAGCTCCCTCCCTATTTGCCAGCCTGGACTCCAGTTCCATCCCCAAACCTGGCCAGTTTAGAACCCAGTCCTCTCCCTAAATCCCCCAGCTCATACGCTAGTCGGTTCTCTCCCAAACCCCAAGCTGGGAACCAGCCCCTTCCTCACTCCAGCTGGAGCTGGCCTCTTGAAGCTCAGGCCGAGCCTCGCCCTGCACTCACCTCCCAGACACAGCGCCATGGTCAGTCGGTACAGGACGTTGTCGGTTCCCCCGCCCTTCAAGTGCACCGGGAGGTCATTGTCCTCCTGGATGTTTGGGGCGTCCAATAAGAAAGGGGTGCTGGCTCTGGCGTAGACGTCCCTCGCCTCCCACAGGATCGAGCTCGCAGCCTGGGACCTCCCCTCATCCCGCCCCCCGGCCTACCTGGAAGAGTTTCTGTTTCTCAGCTACTCGGTTCTCCAAGCGGTTCCGGGTAGTTGAGCTGAAGGAGCGCATCAGTGTCTGGGAAACCTGATGGGGGAAGGGGTTGAAGGGTTTTGGAGGCACCGGGAGAGGCGTTTGGAAGTGGGTCCGGCGGGGGGAGAGGAGATGGTCCTATGTGACCGTCCCAAAGGCAAGATCAGAATTGCTAGCACGAGTGGGGGAAGGGGTCCTGTCAAGAAAGGCCCAGAAAGGGACTCGCGCCCAGAAGGTCTGACTTGGAGGTTACCAGGCTGTCTAGAGGGTCCTGGAAGAGGAGTGGACCCAAAGGGGAGGCTCATGATTTGCGGGTCCAAGTCCCGAGACATTTTTTTGGGAGGAGGGTTTCCTGGGAGAAGCCCAGGTCCTGGGAATTTCGGGACTTGATATGGGGTACCAAATGTGGTTTCCAGACAGCCTAAGAAATCCAGAGGAGGGGAAGGGGTATTAAATTCCAAGTGCCTGGGTCCCAAGGTGTTAAGGGATCCCTGGACGAAGGGGGAAAAGTTCAGACCCAGGGCTTTGGGCCAAATTGGGAGTCCCTGGTTGTCTCAGAAGCTCTTGGATTGGGAGGTGAGTGGTGGGGGTCCCAAGCTGTTTAGGAGGGAGTCCCGAACCCTGAAGGGGGCTCACGTTCCAAGGCCCCAGATTCTGGGATGTTTAGGGAGTGTTGATCGGGGTTAAGGCTTTCAGGGTAGGGGCCCCTGCCCGGCCCATGGGGGCCCTCACCCGCAGGGCCCTCATTCTGCGTCCTCTTCTTCGGCTGGAGTCACCTCCCCTCTCAGCCCAAGGACATACAGTGGCCTCCCCACCCCGGGAATCCCAGGCCACGCCCCGGCGCGCCACACGACACCGCTGTACTGGGATCAGGGAAGTGGGGTGGAGGCCAGGGAAATCCGGGCCTGAGAGGATTCGTCCAATAGGCGAGTGGAAAAGACGCTCCAACCTCGCTCCAGCCCCCAATGGTTGAGGCACCCATCTGTTACTCATCTAGGAATTTCCATTGGTCCAAGAGGAGAGGAGAGTAGTACCAGGGATTATATTTTTCTTTGTTTCTGCGGAAGTATCTGCCTGGGGCAGGTGCGTTTTCTCTCACATTTCATCCCTGCGGGTTGGTATTGGAGAGCGAGTGAGGTCGCAGGTGAACTGCGGTTGGAATTCCTTGTTCTATCTACGTAGACCGAATGATTGCACCTCTGAGTCTTAGTTCCCTTATTTGTAACGTGGGGCTAAGTCAGAATCTTAAAGATTTGTTGAGAGCATTACATGAGAGTATAACTGGCTAACAATTGTAACTGAGCTAATGAATATTGCACAAAAACAGCTAAGAGCCGTTACTTTTACTATTTTCTACCGGCAATGTTCATATATAAAATATTTTTATATTTAGTTAATTTTTGTTTTATCATGGAAAATTTCAACCACAAGCAGAAAGGTAAAATGAATCTCCATCTTGGCTCCATCACCTGCTTCAGCATTTATCACCATTATAGTGTTTGTTTGTTTTTTAAAATTTTTTAATTAAGTTTATTGGGGTAACATTGGTTAATATAATTATATAATTTTCAGGTGTACATTATCATTTGAACCATTTTTCATGTTTCTCCCCACTCAACTCTTTTAATTGGTGTATTTTAAAGCAAATCCTAACATCGCATTTTATATTTACATATGTCTAACATACAAGGACTTAAAAAGGAAAATCCTAACCACCCACAATTTATGGATTGAATCTGGGATTAGAAGAAAAACCATTAAATTTTTTTTTCTATTGTTAGTGGGATAATGGGTGAATTTTAAATAAGGTATGTGGATTAGACAATAACATATCAGTACTAATTTCCTGATTTTGACGGTTGTATAATGGTTATGTAACAAAGTTTTTAGGAACTACATGCCGAATTATTGGAGAGTAAAAGGGCGTCATATCGGTAACTTACCAAAAAATGATTAAGAAACAAGTTATATATCTGTATTCTATCTGATTCTAATTCTGTCTGATTCTCATGTGCAGCCAGGGTTGAGCTCAGTTGCTCTAATAGTTTTAGCAACCAGCGATGATCCTGGCCTAGTCTAAAAGGTTCAAACAATCTCTTTTAAAAATTCCCTTAACATTTTCAAACTATGCTTATAAATTGAATGTGTTATATTTTTCCATTTAAAAACTACAGTAGGCTAAATTATCAGAAGAATCTTTAATATTTAACATAAATTTTATGAATCTAAAATTATAAACTTATTAATGTAGCTAATATTATAACATTAATTGTTACAAGAGTATACATAAACAGTAAAATTTCAACCAAAAGTCTGGATCCCACATTTTAAGTTGGAATTACAAGATTGATCTGTTATTTGAATAGGCCAATTTATCTTATATATTACAAATATTTAAAATATTCAGATACCCTAACACAAAAAAAGTTAACACCATGATTTTGACTCTCTTAAATATTTCTATACTTAATTTTTATTAATTCAAAAATTTCCCCAGGTTAGATGATGTTTTACCCATATAGTAAGATGCTCAATATCATACCATCAGTTGTCATCAGGGCAATGCAAATTAAAGCCACAATGAGATACCATTACATGTCTAATGAGTGGCCCAAATTAAAAAGACTGACCATACCAAATGCTGGTGAGGATGTGGAACAATTCTAACTCATACTATTGGTGAAAATGCAAAATGGTACAACTACTGTAGTGATCTGGGTCCAACCAAGAGATGGAAACAACCCACTAGGTTAAACAGGGAAGTTTAACATAAAGAATTATTGTGACATAAGAGTAACTATAAGATATAAGGAAACTCTATATGGTACCCTAGGATTGAGGGAAGGTACCCAAAGAAGGAGAAATTGGGAAGGGGTTTAGACCTTATTGGAGAAGATGTGGTTTGGCCATCAGATAGCAAAGAAGTTTGCTACTTTAGCCAGGCTGGAACTGGTCTGGAGTTGCTGGACAAATTATAGGTAAGCCTCCAGAGAGCAGGCAGGGGAGCAGGCAATCACCTGGGGGAATGGGCATGCAGTAAGAGTCCAATCCCAGTAGGGATGGAGGCCTTCAGGGCCTGTATATCATGGAGGCTTAGGAGGGGTGTTTGCAGAAGGAATAACTGCTTTGTGTATGAGCTTTTGGACCACAGTCGGTTAGGTGCAGGCCACATGGGGCTTGCCAAGGGAATCTAGCAGGTGAGGGGCTTCTAAGGGAATACAGAGAGGTGGTTGTGTGTAGGTTGAGTCGGGGCTTGTCGAGGGATTTGACAGGCAGCTGTGGAAGGGTTGCCAGGCTGAAGTTGGGGTAGGTTCTGTGGGAAGTCACACCTATGCCCCTGATGACGGCAGGCACCTGCCTGCACTAGAAATTGCAGGAAGCTTCTTCCTCCTGCTGTGTCACTCCAGTGCCCTCTGCTGAGAAAGTTTAACAATGTGCTGTCTTTAAAGGAGAAATGCTTAAGGGAATTCCATTGTTCATCACAGAGCATCTACTGAACAGTGCATTTGGAGCTGAGAGGCAATAGATAACTGACACGGTCTACATCTTTGGCTACTCAGCCTCCATATGCACCTGTCTACACACATTTGAACTCCTTTACAATAATGCAACAATTCTATATTTTACCTATCCTTACAAGAGAAGTTTTTTGGACCAGAATTAGAAAATGCACAATCTGAAGTCATTGTATCCATCATAGGATATATTAATTACTCCTCAGATTCAGTCACAGTCTCACTGAATATTCTGTTACTTAAAGACTAAATTGTAATGTTAACCCCTAATAATAACTCATGTATAAAAGTAAAAAAAAAAAAAAAAAAGGAAGGAAAAAGAGAATGGTTAATATACACGAATAAACACTGTCATGTAACAAGTGTAGAGGAAATATGCAAATTCTTCCTTTCTGTAATTGGTCAGATCAGTGCTGATGTCCCTGGCTTTCTTCTTTAATTATCTTTTCATAGTTGCCTTACCTTCACAAGTCGACTGCTCTGTTCTTTACCCAGTGGAGCTGATCCAATCTTTCATTCCTAAAGGGTTCAAGTCCTTAGGCATCCTAAGTACCAGAGCCTGTTGATTTGTTCCAGCAAAGATATTACATCTGGGACAGCAGCTTCAATTGGAATAAACACCTAAGTTTACAATAGCCCACAGTCATTCTCCAAGATATTATTTTTTATACATTTTAAAGAAAATGGCAGATATCAGTATGCTTCCCCCAAACATTCTATTAACTGGATTGAGGGAGGAGAGGAGGCATCTGAAAAAATGCAAAGGAAAGGGCCTGCAGAAATGACTGACTCAGCTGGTTAAAACTGCTCTCTCCCCCAGTTCTGTCCAGTGCTCTCCAGCTGACATGTTTTTCCCATAGCTATGTCTCCCACTTCAAGGACACTCCAGCTCACATTGTTGAATCATGGCTTGCCAACCAACTAATATTCTTCCTTATCTCTGTAGCTGTGTAGGAATAACAAGACTGTGTAAAACTGCTTGTTATGTTACAATTGGAGCTCAGCCTTTGGATAGGAATCCCCTGAGCAGGTGCCGGCATCAGTAAGTGCTACTTCCTGCTTATAGCCTAGGTGTCCCGTCTCTCTGTTCAAGAATCCTATAATGGTGCTGAGAACGCCAAGGTCGCGGATTCTACAAAACAAACGACTTGTAAGACCAGTGGTCTGGAAATTCCTCCCCACTTGCAGCTCCCCACCCGAATCTCCTCCCCGTCCCAGTCCTGAGTAAGGAGGCATATTTGAAACCTCAGACAAAGGAATCATGTGCCCCTTTCATGGACACTGCGGAAGTATGTAAACTGTAATAAATCTGACCAAAACGAGCTCGTGCATGGAGTTGTTAACCCCACGCGCTCTGCCAGCCAATAAATTCTCCTTTAACAAAGTTGTCTGAGCGTCCAAATTCCTACGTCGGGTGTTGCTTACTGCACCAAGACTACATTAACTTGACGGCCTAGATATTTGAAAGTATGGAAATAAGTATTATCCTCTATGACTAGGAGGAAGGTAAATTAGAACCAAGCTTCTTAACAGCTTATTGGCTAATATATCAAATAGCTACATGAAAATAATAAGCACTAGACCTACATTCCTACAGGGAAACAATTACCTATAGCTGCAGAGCAACTGCCCTTTTAAATGGGGTGGGGAGGGCAGACTGCAAAACTAGCCCCTGTGCCTCTTTACAGTACATTTTGCAGCTCATTCCAATTTTGCCACTTCTCGAATCTAAGTTTGGCCATATGACTTGCTTTGGCCAAAAGCAATAGTGCATTAGCCATGTCGATTGAAAAAGAACAGCTATTAGGTGTTTTGTCATGAAAAGGATGTATTTGGGAAAAAGAAAAGGTTGCATCCCAGAACATGCAGACGTGGCAAGCCACATGCACACTCTGGCCTGCGTGCCAAGAGGGAGGGGGACTTATAGAAGGGAAATAGAAGTTAATGGAAGGGGAAGTTAGAACCATCGAGCTTTATTATAAACATCTTCCTGCAGCGTTCTCGCGAATATGCAGAGCGTGACAGTTTCCATTAGGTGTAGCTCATCCCATAGATTTCCCAGACTGATTATGTTTGCTTAAAGTTCCAGTTCATCTTTATCAGCCATTTCCTACTAATAGGATTTAAAAAACGCTTGCGCATTGGGACTTGCCCTCTTTCGCTACTACTCTTGGGAACCCTGTGACCACCAACATGTGAAAGAGCCCAGATTAGCCTGCCCGGTGACAATGCACTGGGCCCAACACTCCTCATTGCTCCAGCTGAGATCGAGCCAACTGCTAGACATGAGTGAGGGCACCCTAGATCACCCAGCCCCAGCTGAGTAAGATCAGAACTGTCCAGGCAACCCACAGATTCATGAGAAATGATAGATGCTTTTTATTTGAAGCCACTA